ACTAATTAGATTTCAACATAGCTTTAAACTCATCCATTGTCACTATGTTTTAAAGTTTAGTCCATAGTTTTATTCCATACATTAGGTGCTGAAAATCTAGAAGCTTTCTTCCCCAATTCAGCTCTTAACATAATAAAGCTACAAATCGGACGAATGACCAAAAGCAGACTAATTAACTTTTGAGTTTAAACACAAAAGTGATGAGGCGAAGTTTGTTATTACTCTTAGAGCCCCATGATATACATGCTTATACAATTACCAGTGTGAACACATTTGCAGAACCATGGCACTAGATACAATAGGTGCACTTTGTCCAGTAGTGACCATTTCATGTGGAACCCAATGCAACCCCACAACACAGTATGTTCATTTACCATCTGACTTGCTTTTGAACCTGTCTTAGGTGATCATGGCCACCAACAGAGCAGACACGCTGGACCCGGCTCTGCTACGTCCTGGTCGTCTGGACAGAAGATTGAGTTCCCCCCTGCCCGACCGCAGGCAGAAACGTCTTGTTTTCTCCACCATCACCAGCAATATGAACCTCTCTGAGGAGGTCGACCTGGAGGACTGTATCCTTTTATTTCAATAAGGGCACTTTCTAATTGTCTGTTGGGACATTTCTGCAATGTCATGCAAACATGTTTTAAGGACATTTTTGCCCAAACCTCTCATTTGGGCCTCATTCTGTCCTTGGTTTACACACATACATATGTAGATATGTGTGTGTGTGTGTGCAGTTTACTGTCTGGAACATGTGATCACTTCTAAATCAGTGCATTTTTTAAGGATGCATATTTTTCTGATAAATGGAAGTCTGCTTAATGTTAGGGATGCTCAATCTTATCGTGCTATCTCACGCTAAAATAAAGCCCGTTTTTACAGTAAAAACGGTAAAGCCATTATTTAATACCCAGTTCTAGTCTAGTAAGTAACTTCATGTACCTTTCTTTTAGTGTTATTCTCCCAGATTTATGAATGTGACGTTCACACTATCTGGCCTTTTACTCAAACACAGGGCTTGACGGCAGGAACTCATCCACTGTTCCTGTGGGTTTTTCTAAGTTATTGTTGCAGTTCTTTGCAACTTAGGCTTTATTTGTTTGCCAATTTAACACATAGCTCTGAATGTGAGATGACACACTCGCATGTCATTTTTATCTGATGACATCTTTCATTGCATGCACCAGACTTCCTTGATTGTTGATGACAAGTAGAGAAATAATGAACATGTGCAACAAGGGTGGCAGTCTGCACCCAGATGTTTTGTGTTTTGGTGTTGGTCAGTTGTCCTTAACAGATGTACAGATGTGGCTAGACCAGACAAGATCTCTGGAGCCGACATCAACTCCATCTGCCAGGAGGTGAGCTAGAGCTTTAATTATCTGTTCATTTAACCATAACCCTTTCTTTACTTTTGGTAGAGCAGTGTAAATCTATGTGTATTTGCTTTTCCTAATTTTCTCTGTCTTTTTCTTTCTTTCCCTGCTTTCTCAGGCTGGCATGTTGGCGGTCCGTGAGAACAGGTATATCGTCCTGGCCAAAGACTTTGAAAAAGCTTACAAAACCGTCATCAAGAAGGACGAGCAGGAGCACGAGTTCTACAAGTAGAAGAGAAAAAAACCCACATCCTAGGGAACAAAAGAAGGTGTCCAGACACAGGAGTTTGTTATTGATTTACGTCTGTGTCTCTATCTACAGTATGTCTTTTGTGGATTTGCAGTCCCTGACTTCCATTGATTTTGGACTAAATGTACTCACTGCTGCAGAAGGCCTAATGTCAGATTAGTCCTGTACCTCCTTAAGACGCACTACCATGTGAAGGAGTGATTTGTGCACAGGCTCTCTACTGACTCCTAAAGATAAGGCCCCAAAACTTAGCTAGGATAGAACATTTGTATCTATATGTACTCACTTAACAATACATTACAAAAAACCATTAAAGATGTTTTCCATAAAAAAAAATGATTGTCATTGTTTTTTTTTTTGCCTTTTTAAATGCCATTTAGACACACCATACTATATTCATAAACTAACATGTTGTGTTACGATTTTTGTTCATCAACAAAATATTTTAGTTGGAGCGGCAACAAATATATTTACCAAGGAAAATACATCTTTATTTAAATCTTTTTGTTCCTATGACGTTTAAAAAAACAAAACAATTGTTATTAACTCTTCCCAATGTGAGCTTTGTTCTATTGTTGTTTTTATGCTATACATTTCATATTTTTAAGATTTTGGACTGTTGGTTGGACGAAAGAAGATATTTTAATATGTCACCTAAGGCTTTTTTAAAAATTGTATTGGTCATTAAGTAAAGCTATTTTACAACCAAAAATGGCAAAAAAGGATAATCCTAGCTGTTAGCAGAAGCCCGATTGTAAGTATCATCAGTCATAAAAGTGTTTTAGCCTGATGATTATTTGTCAAATATAAACATAACTAATACACACTGAAAGATATATGCTGGTATCACATCAAACATCGGACTCAATATGAATTCATTCACCAACATTGGCGTTTAGTAGAGAAGGCCATACATCATATAAATGTACTGTTGTGTGGATGTCCTCCTGTCAGTGTTCTGATCTTGACAGAGTCGAGTCATATGGATGCCCAGTGCTCGGCCGGGCGTCTCGCTTAGTGCTGAAATGCTGACTTCCATGCTGTTCCGGTGCCCTCTGCTTCTCTTCTCTCGAGCCAGCCCATGAGTCAAAGCAGTGCAGCCTGAGGTTGCAGCTCTCCCTTCAGCCACAAGTGGGGGGGATGGAGATGATTCATTATTACACCCACGTGGCAATGTCGGTGAATCCAATGCACATCAAGCTCAACCAAAAGCATGACCTTTGTCCACCAAAAGTACATATTTATTTTGACAGTTTAATGTCCAAAGTCCCTTGAGGGATGCTCTGATTCTACTGTAGTGCATTTAATTGAAGCCAAAATGAGAATGGAATTAAAAAAATAGTATTTATCTGACCAAAAGTGTCACCATTAACTGCTGTTACATCACAATTTACAAATAAAATAAAAAACAGTATGGGGTCCATTAAAATGTGGGAATACCCCTGAATATGACTTTGAAATTTAAGGAGTGGTACTCACATGTGTTTCACTTGGTCTCTGGTGGGAAGGCTGTAAGTGACCTGGTCAAAATAGTATGGACAGAGATGCAGGGTTGCCTGTACTGGCTGTTGGGACATCCAGGGAAAGATTTGATCCAGGTTGTGGTTTTGTCCACATGCATTCCGGAAAAGAATCTCCACCACATGGCTGATGCCAAAGCATCCATGATGGTTTGATCTCCTGAAGGCCTGTGAGGGAATAACTGGTACAGAGGTGGGTGGACTGCCATTTTTCCAGCTCTGTCCAAAGACAAACAAGATCAAAATGAGTCAACTGTCAGCCACAGAAAAAAAGTGCTTTTGTATTTATTGTCATGTTATTACACAAAATGTATGTTTGGCTATTATTAATCTGAACTGGCACTGTCTTTTCAAATGATGCAAGTATGTGGTTATGATCAGAGGTTGAAGAAAGACTTAGAACTTCTAAGTAAATTACAAGTCAAGCATTCCATTTTCACAGTAAAAGTACAGTACAAGTAATATTTTGTTTATATTGAGTACAAAATATTGATGCATTCATTCATTTATAACATCACTTCTTCCTGCTGGTGTTTTAAACATTGATTCATTATGATAGATCATGTGTTATTTGTTTATTACACATTTTCATTCATACGAATGTACAAAGTATTTAAACAAGTAGCAGTAAACTCAAGAGCAGAGCAATCCCATCAAGCAACATTTGGAATAAGTAAACTATGAATGGAGTAATGAAGAAGCCAACTTAGTTACTTTCTTCAACTGATTATGATTTATTAGAAACAAATTAAATAATCAAAAGAAAAATGGTTACTTACCTTAACCAAGAAATATGATTTCTTGTTATGCTGTGTGACATTTTCTGTTGTCTTTTATATCTGTTATTCTGTTCTAGAACATCTTTTTAAAATAATGAGTCCGGTGAATCATACTGTATTCATACATTTTAAAACAATACAAACAGACCTTTATAACAGCGATTACATTGGTAACCACAGCACGAGCAGTTAAACCATACGGCGTGGCAAAATGTGTTTGATGAGATTGTTTGTATGGTAGATATTAAAATGTATTTGTTCTTTTGTAATTGTTAAAGGCACATTTTGGGAAAATAAGCCTTAAAATACACAAACTGTGAGCAGGCTAGTCAAGGCCTAACTGGCCTTTTTTGTGGAAAGCTATGCATAATATACTTTATACCAGAGGTGGAAGAAGTACTTAGATTATTAATTTAAGTAAAAGTAATGCCACAGTGTAAAAATACTCAGTTACAAGTAAAAGTCCTGCATTCAATTGTGTACATAAGTAAAATATTTAGCATTAGTTACAGTATACTTTATGGAGCAAACGTAAAAGCAGTTGTTCTGCAGAAAGGCACATTTAAATACCAGATATTTTTGTATTATTTTATTAAAAATGATTGGTGCATTAATATGTTCATCATTTCAATGTTGCACTTAGTAGGGTTCATTTGAATTACATTATACACTAGGCCTACTAGCTTAACCTATAATAATATATGATAATGTTTGTGTCGATTTTATCTTATATAAATAATTTAAATCCGCAAAGTCAATTAAATATGTAAGATACATGTAGTGGAGTAAAAAGTACAGCATTTGCCAACAAAATGTAGTGGAGTAGAAGTACAAACTACTAGTATAATGTAAAAATAGTAAAGTACCTCAAAATTGTACTTCAGCACAGTAATTGAGTAAATGTACTTTGTTAATATCCACCTCTGTTATATTGATGAATTTATCCCAGTGCTACAACTAAGTTACTTACAGCTATCTGAGGCACTGTACTTGAACAGCCACGTGTAAAACCGAGTTAATAATTGTATAAAAGCGTAAGTGTTTTTTTTTGTGGGCACGTAGTTTCATGTTGGGTTTCCAGTGAAGGGGAGGAGGGGGAAAGGCTGTGCGACACTCGGCGCATTCGCTCTGTTGGACTACCGCACGTTACAGCGACCACACAGCATCAACTTCAAAACATATCGAAAACGGAGGAGGGAGGGTACTGTCGGGAATATAAACGGTTTACAAGCTACTTCACCAGCCAAGGGATATAAAGCAGTCCATCAGGTAAGAATAAAACAGCTAAGTATCTCGCTAAAAGACACCAAAAACAGCTCCGTATTTGTGGCTGCTAGCTAGCTAACGGTAGCTAACTAACTAACGTCCGTTAACCGACTGCAGCGGCTAGCTCGGCTCGGCTCGGACCGGATTGTTTCCTCTTCCCTGACACAGCTGGGGAGGATCAGGCGAAGTTGAGCCTGGGAGGGAACATTTTCTTCTAAAGTTTAACAATTGTACGATGTGTTTCAGAAGTGTGGTTGTTAATGTTTTGGGTTAAGATGTACACGTCAGTCACAGTACAGTTGGTTTAACGGTACCTGCAACTTAAAAGTTAGCGCATAAGTTATACGCTTAATAAACGGTTTTATAACAATAGAAGACTCGCGTCTTTTGTAACTTTTATTTACAAGTGTACGATAGGCCTATAAAGTGACTCATCTGGTAGCTACATGGGCAACATTGTTAAAGCTTATGTTACTAAATGTCCGCTCAACTTGGCTACGTTCACGTTAACGCACCCCCACAAAATGCTTGCACAAGTTTTAGCTAAAGCTAGTTAAAAAACCACTTCAAAGTTTGCTTGCGTCTGTGTCACTGATAGGCGAACAATGGTGATTTTAAATACTTGGTTGCAAATAAATGCTAAAGGCTTTTTCTTTTACTGTCTTAACACAATATACAGAGGAGATTTCTGTTGAAATTAGCTTGGTTTTTCGCCTTTCATTTTATTAGTAACCTACTTCGTGAATAATATGTCTTCATATTCACATGGTGTTGCTTATGTCCTGCCCTTTTCGTGTTAACAAAGCACTGTGGTTTGTGGCCATTTATTTTGAAAAGGCAATCATCTTCATTTTACAAGAGACCCAAAGGACTTTATAGTTTAGTAACTTCTTCTGTGTCACTGACATGCGCTCAATGGTGACGACAACTATTTCGTAATCACTTTAAAGACTACTGGAATGGGCAAACAACTCTGTGTATGGATTGTTAACTACTCAGTAGTTGGCATTTGCTGCTAGTAATGGACATTTAGGATATGCCCCTATTGACTCATTGATTGCGCAATTTCATGCTTGTTTCTTTAGGTCACATGATTTCCAGCCCCTATTCTTTATGTTTCATGTATACCCTGAGAATAACAAAAGGTTCTGCATTGCCTCCCCCTCTGAACTGTCAGATTGATTGAGTCAACACTTGAAGAGTGAGCAGTACAGAAGGACTATTCTTTTACTTACTACTAGAAGATTGACCAATAGTTTAACCTGTTGACTGCTGGGATGTCAGGATGATTCACTCTGTACACCTAGTTCCTTTTTCTTTTTCAATTCACACTTCTGTGCCAGGAGAAAGTTAAACACTGCCCATGAAATCTTTGATAGCTTTTATGCACATACTTTTGCACATTTCAAATCAAACAGTATTAAGTTAGCTGTATGTGTGTCACTGTCAAACCACTTTACACTTCTGACATCTGTATTATATACCTGTCTCTGTTACTAAATTGTTGGCAGTGAATTAAGGTGTCCCTCTGCACATAACCACTGGCAGTTATTGTGATATTGAGATTAGTCGTAAGACTCTTTGATATGATATTTGACGTCACTTTTTTTCTTATCTTTTTGCATTAGGTTTCAATGGAACAATTGATTTTTTTTCCTTTTGTTTGACTAAGCTTTATGTTACAGGAGCTTTCAATGTTTACTCCCTTTGTTGTTGTGTAACTTGTTGCTCCAGGTGTGTTGTTAGTTTTCTAACCACATGGGGGTTTCCTTATCTCCATGGTTGTCGCTGCTAAGTTTGCAACCTACTGCAAGTCATGCTGATTGCTAGCTATTCCCGGTGGGGTCGTTTTAGCAGAGGTGAACACTACACTATGGAAAACAAGCATACTCAACCAGAAATCTGGGGGAAATAAGTGGGAGGAAGGAGGAGAATGATGATGTGTTTTTCCTCACTAGTCTGTCCCAGCAGTGTTTGACTCGAGGGAACAGCCATAGAGACATGTACCAGCTGCACCCGCGATGAATGGCCCAGGCTCAGGATGGGTTGCCATGACAAGGACGCTGGCACGTGTTGTTATGCAGACGCATCTTTTATCAGGCCATGTTTGCACATTATTTCATTGCCTGGTCTTGCTTGGTAAGTTCCTGTGAGAAAGACTTGGTTCTGTAGACAGGATTCAAATAACGTTTTACTTTGATGTTTTATTTTTAAGACTGACATCAGTTTTTGTAAAAATATGTTCCTATATGTTGCTCTCTGCTGACTACATTTGTCCTGGTCAGTTCTATAACCAGATGGACTACTCCTGTTATTTAGCTTGCACTCAGATCCTCAATATATACAAATGTAGCCACAACATGGATGCTCAATCACAAGGGTATGCAGGTGTTGTTCTTGTAAACAAACACACCCCTTCCAACCTTTTAATGGTTTTCGATCTCTTTCATGATGCAGGCGGTAGAAAATTGCAAAGAAAACAGCCTGTCAGATGCTACTGGCTTTAATAGTCTATCTACTATAACATGTCAACAGTATAGATTTGTACGTAAGTGACTTTATACAATTGTCAATTTATTTTATTTAATCCTGTTGTCATATTTTCTTATTATTATAGTAGTACCATCTGGATTTAGCGCCATACAGCATGCAATTTAAACTAGCTAAACCAGAAATGGACTCAAAACTTCTCCTTTAAAATCCCTCATAATGAATGTAGTGCAAGGTAAGGTCATGTTTCATGTCTGAGTTGAAGAAGACTGTGGCCAGTTTGCTGGAATTACCTCATAACCACTACACTATACATTTCTAATGCGGAAACTATTATCTCAACACCACAAATCATTCTTTTTAGTAGGCTTTACGTTTGCTTGCCCAATTTTCAGTCGATGTTGTGCATAATGTGACACAACATTGACGGTTGCCATTTGAAAAGGTCCACTGAGGACAAGGATGAATCTGCGCGGGGGTTTATATCAATGTTTTCACTCCAGACTTTGTACCACAGTTCTGCTCTGACGCAAACATGTTACCAAACATGATTCTGTAGCCATCTTTTGGAGCGTTTCATATCATGCAAGGTGACAGTGACCCAAACAACACACCGATACTGTCTTGATTATTTATCAGTGATGGATATAATCAGAAGTTACTGCGAGGATTGAGGAACCTTGCTCTGGAAATGTAATTTTGTAAACTGTCACCACAAAGTACTTGAAACCTGTGCATTTTTAACATCAAAATAGCGGGATTTATACTTTTTTCCCCTTTTTTATTATTGGTCAACAAATAAATGCTAAACGCTTTTTCTTTTTCTCTTTTAACACAATAAACAGACAATAATTGTGTTGAATTATCTCGTTTTTTCTCATTTTATTAGTAAGTCGTGCATATCTCTGAGTAATGTTTTTCGATAAAAGAGAGAACTGCTATACTGTGCATTTTGGGCATTTATCTCAAATAGTTTAAAAACAGTTTGGCACCGCCTTTGTTTGGTCATGAATTGAGCGGGCACACTATAAATAACACAAATAACGGTTGTTTGCTCATGGCCACTTATGTCACCTGTTCGTCTGTTCGTCTGTTCCTCCTTTTAGAAGAAAGAGACCCAATGGACTGTATGTCATCTTTAATGAAAGCTCTTTTTGTTTGATGTGTACAACTGTTTGAGGTATCCTGTTATCTTTTTTTTACCATAATAAGATATATGATTTAAAAAAACATGGATAACATTTCCTCATACAGTTGTTTTATTCTGTATCCCTAAAACAAAGCTTGAAGTGACGAGTAGTGAGGAGCTTGTAGGATTTGATGGACCCTCCCCTCAACAGTAGTAGGGGTTTAGCAGATCTGAGAGGAAGGTCTCACATGTAAGACTGGAAAGCACTCACTGATCCTCCATAGGCTGGCATATAACTGAGAACATACTCAGACAGATGTGTAAGCTTGTATCTTGTAATGCAGTGCCTTCGTATGTGCTTCTACGGGATCAAGAGGGTAAGGCCCTAACCAGACAGGACAGTGAAGTGCAGCGTTTTGGCAAGCCTTTCTATCTTCTATTTATTGGATTTCTTGGTTTAAAAAAAGTATTTCTTGCAGCACAAGTGTTAAGCATTTCTATATTTTCTGTCAGTATAAGGCCCTTTTTTGCTTCCCAGGGGCTGACTTTGCCTTTAAAATCAATAGCTAATAGGCCTTCATTATAGTTTTTTCCCCTTTTCTTTAAAAAGCAGTGTCACATGCAGAGAGAGAGAGAGAGTTTTTATATTAAAATGTATGCACACACTAAGGCACAATCCTTCACCTAGTTTCCTGTCGTATTCTCCACTGCCTTGCACTGAAATTGTCTACATTTCAGCCTTCTTTTTCATGAAAAAAACTATTATAATTGCCAGGTTCTGTCATCCGTTATTCTTCTACTGATGTTTTAGATTGTTGCCTCACTGTGGGTATAAGGTTATGGATAGTTATAACTTTGATATTGTGATATTTGATACTGGCTCAGATAACTACCCACTTAGAGAATAACCCACAGCAGGTCATCAATGAGTGTTGCTGCACAAATAGTTCTGGTCCAGGAAATAGGCTGCCCTAGAGTTGGACAGGAGTACAAATAAAATTGACTGCCGTGTTAATGCCAATATAATCTTTGTATGAATGCCTGGTAAGGTACACCTTTTATGTGGTTACCCTTATTGTGACTTTGTTGGTTGCTCATTTATCTTACTCTGTGGCAGATATTGGACTGTGCATGAGTGCTATGCTATCCCTTTAGGATTTGAAAAGCAAAGCATAAGCTATTATTCCCCAGATGATCTAAATATAACTCCCATACTCTAAACCCCCCATCCGCTTTTATTTTCTTGTTGGCTCGTCATTCTAACCCCCATGCCAGCCTACCCTTTTTGCGTTCACTCGTGTGTGTGCAAGCATCCATGTGGACATTATCATATATATATATATATATATATATATATATATATATATATATATATATATATATATATGCAATATTCATGCCCCATGGGCAAAAGAAAATGTACCATTTGTCGGCTGTTATGTGCCATCACTCTTTTTAAAGCACACATTGCACAGTGAAGGAAACAAACTAAATTAAGAGGAGAGCGAGGGTGCTGGGAACAAGGCCAGAAGGTATAGCTTTGGTGTGCTATAGCATGTTACGTCACGCCAAACCTGCCTCTTTTTAAAAATCTAAATAAAGAAAGGATATCTGAGCAGGAGAGACAATGAAGTCAAAAGAACATAGTGTAACCAGACTGTTGGCTGCTCTCCCCTCTCCCCCTGCAGCTCCACGCTGGCTTTGTCCTCTCTTTGGTTCACTCCTCAGCCCTTGAGCTTACACTGAAAGATTCCTCTAAATCTAGTCCCTGAATCTCTGTTTTTATATGTGTTCTAAGTCGGCTTTGTTAAAGCACGTTCCTGCTGCCAAGTTCTCTCACTCCAGCCAGCTCAAGCACCAAAGCAAACCAGCCTCATAATTTCTCCCCTTTGTAAAAACATGTGTATCTTATGATGGGAATTAGGTTTCCTCGCTATGAAATGTTCTCAGACAGAAGGGTGTCGCCCTGACCATTGTCAGGCAATTATCATATGGATGTTAGGGTTGTAATTAACACACTGTGCTTCCCCTTCTGTCTGCCCCCCCACGTAACTTGGGACTGTAATGTGGATAAATGACATTGCTTTTCTGTGCAACGGGGTCAGATCCTGGTACTATCTACTAGGGCTGTGCAATTAATCGTATTTTAATCGCAATTACGATTTTGGCCTGCCACAATTACGAAAACAACATAATCGAAAAAAATGATTATTTTGCTTTGCTAGGTTGTGACAGTGCACGACAACATATTTGATCAAATGTATTTGTATTTATCATTTATATATGTTTAGTAGCTTGTTGAAGTGCGCTCCAAAATATGTTGATCTTGTTTATTGGTATTTATTATCATTATGATATTATTTATTTAAATGTAGATATAAATGTATCTTATTTTATTTATTTTTGTATTGGTTTTTCAGTTGAATTATACGTTCAGGGTAATCAACAGTTAACAAGATACTGTTCAAATTATTATTTGTATTTAAAAGTTCAATAAATGGATGTTTTCAAAGTCATGAATAATTGTATTTAATAATCGTGATATCAATTATTGACCAAAATAATCGTGATTATGATTTTTGCCATAATCGCACAGCCCTACTATCTACTAGTGCAGGACCTCTGTCCTTTCCAGCTGGAAATATGATTGATTCTGTTAAATGCTATAACTCTTTATTAAATAACACGACTTTGGTTTAAGCTTGTATATTTGTTATTTTCTTACCAGAAGGTGATTAAGTGTGGGATTTCCACCACATATCTCATTACACATGAATGTGACTGGAATATGGGAGAGTAGGAAGGGTTTCTTTAAGTATGATGCTTAGTCATGTAATGGCTCAAACTTGCACATCGCATGATCTTATCAGCAACGTTTTGCTCTTGAAAACTTAAGATGTTTAATCATTTATATTCATCTAGCAAGCCTGACAGACCCTGAACCAGTAAGTAGTATTCATTATGTAAGGATAATTGTTTTCCAGGTCACTTTTTATTATGTTCTGGATGGAGATCCCGGAGTGGTGGAGTTCAATTTCCCCACTGTGGGATTAAGTCTTTATGGCAGGATTTTATAAACCATATCCATAATCTATGCGGTTATTATAAGGACTAAGCAAAGTGAGAGAGGTCAATCTCCCATCTGCTCACAGTTCCACGAGCAGATGAAAATCATCTGCAGCGGTAAGCAGAGGCTTTCCTTTCCTTTCTGATCCACATATCCCCTCAGAGAAGAACCTTTATTATCCTTACACTGAAAATCCTCGCAGTCAGCTGTCAAAGCAAAATACAGAAATACAGGAACAGCACTGAAGTTCAGAAAGCGTGAGTTTGAAAGATGTCAGTAGTAGTAGTTAATATTTCCTGTTGATCAAGTAGGCCGTATCATTCAGATGTCATTTTTTCACAACTAAAAGGAACCTGGTTTGTAGATCAACCGTTTCCTGTCGGTTATGAAAAAAACCTTACATCAAAGATCTAGCCTTTAAAACAAGATGTCGACACGGAGTACAGTGGTGGAAAAAACATGTTTTCTATCAAATTATTACAATTTTTAAAAGATAATAGAATCACTATTGTGTTGAAAATAAAATGCAACATGACAAGGGTATCAGATCGCTTCAGTCATGTTTTCTGTTCTTCATCTTAGCTGTACCTTTTTTTTTAAATAATTTTCACTTAATTTCCATTAACATGCTGTGTGCAATGTATATGTTTTTATAGAGTGTGAATGACAGACTACTCAACACTTATGTATTGTTTTTCTGTGTTATTTTATTTAGAAACCTTCCATCACTCCAGAGACGATATTGCCCTTCATGATGTTATCAAAAGATGCATGTGTGTGTTGCCCAAGTGCATTGGGAGACATTGCGGTTCTAAATGGTTTTACACTTATCATTGTGTTCAACTGACTTAAACAAATCTTGACTTTTGGTTATAAAATCTCTGAGTGTATGTGAGAGGTTGGAAGCTACTGTAATACTAGTAAGTAACTATATCTGTATCACTCCGTCTCTTCCAGTCTTGTAGCATTGAGTGGGATTAGGATTAGTGGTCTGAGGCTGGCTTCTTTAACAAGCACTAATTAATTAATTAATTAATTAATTAATTAAAGAGTGAGGATGTGTAGGACACTGCAGCAGACGGCACCAGAGCAGGGGGAAAGGCTTATGCAAGCTCCACAAACACCACATTGCAGCAGCCTGCAGCAAAAAGGGGGCCGCGAGTTTGTTGGCTCTTGAACTGGAACGTTTCATCCACACAGCGGAGCACGGCTTCCCGTCTGCCATCCGCTGTGGGCAGCAGGCCTCTCTTTGGGGAGGCATCTACACTGGAGCCCATGCTGGGCCTGATTAACCAAGGCTTTCCAACTGTGCTGCTCAGTCTCCATGTAAACAAACACAATTTGTCGGCCCAGTATTGCACACAATCAGTCATTGTTTGTGTGGGTAAACGCATTCTGCTGTAAAAAATCGCTGATGTCAACGGTTTATACCAAAGAGGGCCAGTGAATGTAACTGTCCTTCCTTCTCTTTTGTGATTTTTCTTTCAGATCTGTGCTGGAGTGAAGGTCCAGTTGGTGTCCATACAGTGCGCCATACAGTGAGCTGCGTGGCTGCCGGCCCAGTGGGCTGCCAGAGGAGTCTCAGAGCTGTGGATTGCATCATTATACGACAAAAGCAATTGGAATCAGAGCTCTCCCTCCCTCCTCTTCCTCTATCTCCTCTTCTTTTTCTCTCGGCCTGACTCTCCCCATACACAAACCTTCTGACCACTCCTCCCACACTGGGTATGGTCCACTCCCCCCCGACTCCCCAGCCAGTCAGGCAGTGAGTCGATGGAAGCTGTGTAATCCTCTGTAAAGTATAGGGCCTATACGGCTGCATATGCTCCCTTTTGTCATGGCGACTGTTGTTGTTGCAGAGGCCTCCCTCAGGAGAGCACATGAGGGAGAACAGAAGGCAGCATAAAGCCCACAAAGGGAGGAAGAGAGAGCGATAGACACTGACGCCGCTATTTATTTGACCATAGGAGAGTGAGCTCCACAGGGCAGTGGATGGCATTCATTGGGGGTGAAACTACATGATGTGGGACTGGCATTACCACCCCACGCCAATCACAAATTGGACCAACAGTCATTTTTGGAGATATTTGCCACATAGTGTGCTGCAGCAAGGGATGCAGTGAAACGGAGACAAAAAGACAAGACGGTTTTTTTCTTGAATTACAATACTTTTCTATTTTTCCTCCCCTTGGTGGTCTTTTTCAATTTCAGCCTACCAAAAGTGCCTTTTTTGTCAACTTTTTACTCATCTTCCCCTATATTCATATTCCTAATTACCACAGATTACCGTATGTTATTTAGCATACAGTAACGGTCACATTCAATGGTTGTTGCCATATTTTGGGTACCTATTTTATGTAGTGTGGGCCACAGCACCAACCTCCATCAAATACACAGACGACAATCATCACTTTTCCAAGTAGTGTCTCTGCTTGGGGAGAGCCTATTTAGTGACTTTTTGCACTGTCTTCTCCCAACCCTTGTTGCTTTGACAACATCAACATGATCAGTATCCAGTCCAAATGGCGCTACCTTTTCATGTTTCTGGGCATCCAGCTGGTGGTCATGGCGCTGCTGTCCCGAGAGGGATACCAGAAGAGGGTCTCCTACTTCATCCGCATCTTCCGCAAGCCCGACACCACTGGTTTATCAGGCCGCAACCAAACAACAGTGGGCATACCTGGAGGGGATGTATATGCCAACCTCTCAACACTTTTCAAAACTCATGTCAATGAAGATCACATGCCCTTGTGCCCTAAGACGTCCCCTCTTATAGGTGAGTGCTCTGTCCTGCTTCTGTGTCATTCTGTACGGATGATACTGTGTTACTGGAGGTAAATCGCTCTCTCCTTCACACGTCTCTCATTTAAAGTGGACCTATCATGCTATATTTGAATAATATAGTGTAGGACCATACCTATATAAGGCATATTTATACTTTTTTTTTGCAAAATACCAAACAGATCATGCATTTTAGCCATGCCTCAATTTGACATTTTTTAGCTCTGTGTTTGTAAGGGCAGAACAGCACCATCTACAGGCCTGGCATATGTACTACAGGGTCTCCAGCGCTTTCGAACGGCAATGTCCGTGGCTGTCTCCTCCTGATTGGTGGAGTTGGCCCAATAGCCGGAGCGCCACCGTCCTGACGTCAGGACAGTGTTCAAATCTGGATCAGTTTTTATCAGATCCGTTGTAGCCCCTTTTTTTAGAGATTTGGGTATGGAGGAAAATAGAGGGTTGTGTTTTCTGACACTTGGTGAGTTCCCTGGAACACCGGGGACACATATTCATGTAGAAAAGACGTATAAAAGACGTACAAAAGTGCATTTTGCATGATAGGTCCCCTTTAAACTAATATAAGACACTGACAATAAAAACAAATTATATAGCGCTTATCTTAACAAGGTTACAAATTGTTTCCCAGGATACGATGGCAGAAAAACAAACTGTACTGCCCATGAACTTCTTAATAGAAAATGATGTGGGAGCAAATGAGCAATCAGGAAGCACAAGCAAGCGGATGCATCAAATGATCAGATATCCTGTCCACAGTTATCAGTCAGGGTTGTTAGCTGTGACGTCCCCTTTTTTTTTTTTTTTTTAAACGTCATGATTATCTATACTCAAGGTTCACTAACTAGCCCATCTGAGCTTTCAACTTGACACATATCATCTTTGTTGGCCTGATGGCAAACTTCATCCATACAAGACGACAATGAGTTTTTGCAACGAGTGAACACAACTGTCTAACATCTAGTAAGATTCCATTAGTGTCAATGACTTAGTTTATATACAGGAACAATACAAAACGGTTTACATTTGAGTTTCTTTTACGAGTACGAAACCCTGTGGAAATACCTCTGAGAGTTGCACAATACCAAATCTGACACTCCACGTTGTTTTCAGTATGTCTAGAATGCATTCTCAAGCAGGCTTATTTTTCTACTTTCCTGGCTCTGCCCTCTGCCCCTTTGTTCCTACATCACTGCCAGTGAGTTAAACTACATGCTGATAACCCAGCCACAAGGCTTTGACTACTTTCCTAGAACACAAATAATAGATAAAGGTCATTGAGGCTTTAAAGAACATGATGCCAGGCAGCAGGAAGTGAACTGAAACCACCTGGAGTTTCCCTGTGACAGATATTTATGTGCAGCAACGGACCAGACGGGTCTTGTTGAAATATCTTTACTTCAAAGAGACTGCATGTTGAATGTTTCCCCTTATAACAAAATCAAGTTGCTTTGTTGACAACTCCTGTGGGGGCTTTGGGATTGTTTGACCATAGATTGTAAATACATGGAGCCTTTTTTTAAATGATTTAATTTGGAGTTTCAGTCCTCATCATGGTACTTTAAATTAAAAATGTTGAATTCAAGGAAAATACATCAGTTTCCTTCTTTGTGGCCTCCTTTCAGTGAGACAAACGGGAGGCATGTAAAGAAATAATTAACTTTTCCACTCTTTCAAATGTAACTGCCACTTCAATAAGTTCATTTACAAGCACATTTAGCTCTGTGCCAGCATAGGGATGTTCTATCCAGGAGTAAGTTCAGTTGAGCCCACGTCATTTTAAAATTCATTCAAATCATAGCCTCTCATCACCTAACCAGCTGATTTGCCTTTACTCCATTGAACATGTTTGCTACTGGTAATGACTGCAGAGCTTTTTCCTGCTCACAGGTGGGCCGATTCACGTCAAATTCCCATCGGGGCTGACTCTAGCAGAGGTGCAGAGGAAGAATCCACTGGTGATGCGCGGAGGACGCTACCGGCCGCCTGACTGTGAGGCGAGACACCGAACGGCCATCATCATTCCCCACAGACACAGAGAACACCACCTCAAGTTCCTTCTATACTACCTGCATCCTTTTCTGCAGCGACAACAGCTCAACTACAGAATTTACATCATTCACCAGGTGAACAGCACACCGCCAAGTGATGTTATACACTCACGGAAGAATCAAAAGGGATTTCCTAACCCCAAGCTATAGATTTCACATTTGGTTGAAACACTGTCACTAACGCTATCATCTAGTCAATTGTGTCTGCATTCACAGTTAACCTTTTAGTGGATTCTTCTACCGTTCAGGCTACAGGGTGTCCGCGGGGTCTTAAAAAGTATTAAAAGTTGATAAATCAATTTAGCGAAAATTAAGGCTATTCAAAAGTATTAAATGGCATTTTCCAAGGTAGTACATTTTGTAGCTTGTTTTCAATAAGTATATAAATTGTCCAAAGAGGTTGTATTCTACAGTCTGCCTGAATGTAATCATTGCGTAGGTGTGTAGTGTGATTCTGTGTAGTTTATTTATGGCATCCCGTTGGATTTGACGTCATCTGAACAGGACATCGCACGCTCACTGCTTGATAGCGCGCAAAGATCCGTTTACGCCGGTTGTTAAACAACATCGTTATGGGGAAATGCAAGTTTGCGTCCAAATGGTTGGAAGATAAGGAGGAAGGACAATCAATACTGAATATAGTACATTTGAGGTAAAGTGTGTCGCCAATGTAACCGGTTAAAACTCAAAGTGACGATGAGGTCTTAAAATGTATGGAAAGGGTCTTAAAAAAGGTCTTAAAAGGTATTACATTTGACTTCAGGATTCCTGCATATACCCTGGGCTAAATAAAGAGTGCCCTCTAGTGTGCTGTCCCTGCATGTGCATGTTGGAGAAAGAGGATGCTTTAATCTCTTTAGCTGTTTATAACAATTGTTTCATGTGTATTTCTCAGCATTCTCTCATTCGCTATTTTCTCTTTTGCCAGATAAGAATGAATGTGTTCCACTTCTTCCTGCAATGATTTCCAGTAAAGTTGCAATTTATTCTGATACATCTAGAAGGTTTCCTGATTATTTGATACTATTTTGTAGATTTATTTTCTATATCTCTAACTCCCTCATACTCCAAAGTTGTCTGATTTGTGCTAGATGCCTCTCTGTTAAAAAAAACTTCTAGAGCTGTATTGAAGTGAGACGATTGTATCACTCTGACATTATGTGTCTGTGTTTTCTCCACAGGCTGGAACATACACTTTCAACAGGGCCAAGCTGATGAATGTGGGTTTCCGAGAAGCCATGAGGGAGGAGGACTGGGACTGCCTCTTCTTCCATGATGTGGACCTCATCCCGGAGGACGATCGCAACACGTACGTCTGCGACTCCAACCCCAAGCATGTGGCCATCGCCATGGACAAGTTCGGCTACAAGTATGTCCTTTCTTGTGTCTAATAATCCATTGAACGCGTCACTGTTCACCGATTACACGCGTTTACCTGCAATACATAATCCTCTCCAGGCTTCCGTACAAGATGTACTTTGGAGGAGTGTCCGCTCTGACGCCACTGCACTACCTCAAGATTAATGGCTTTCCCAACAACTACTGGGGCTGGGGTGGAGAGGACGACGATATTGGACTCAGGTGAGCCTTGGCCGAATGCTCTTAAGAATAAAGTATATGTAGCCAGTCACTCATTGTGGCATTTCCAGTTTGTGGTAGATCTCTGGATTAAGAGTAGATCTAGTATTACAATGAAACAGTTGTACTACCCTACTGTAGGTCAGACTCTGTTATCGGTACAAGATCAATGTTTTGATTTGTGTCTTGAACCACGTAAGGAGATGAGTGTGATCCAGTTGTACTGTGTGATAGTAGGGCTGTGCGATTATGGCAAAAATCATAATCACGATTATTTTGGTCAATAATTGACATCAGGATTATTAAATACGATTATTCATTGACTTTGAAAACATCAATTTATTGAACTTTAAAAAAAAAATACAAATAATAATTTGAACAGTATCTTATAACTGTTGATTACCCTGAACGTATAATTCAACTGAAAAACCAATAAATAAAATAAATGATACATTTATATTTACATTTAAATAAATAATATCAAAATAATAAATACCAATAAACAAGATCAACAAATATTTTGGAACGCACTTCAACAAGCTACTAAACATATATAAATATGATAAATACAAATAAATGAGATCAAATATGTTGCAGTGCACTGTCGCAACCTAGCAAAGCAAAATAATCGGTTTTTTCGATTATGTTGTTTTCGTAATTGTGGCAGGCCAAAATCGTAATTGCGATTAAAATACGATTAATTGCACAGCCCTCTGTGATAGACAAACTTTCTCTTCTTTTTAGAGTGTCTCTGGGGGGGATGTACATCAGTCGACCGTCAGTGAAGGTCGGCCGTTACAAGATGATTAAACACAAGCTGGACAAAGGCAATGATGTGAACCCAAAGAGGTACAGTAAACTACTTGATGTATTTATTTTAATTTGGGAATTTAGGAGCAGATCTGATTTAGTTTGCATGCAGATTAACACATGATGATGTAAAAGAGACCCTGCACTACTTGTTCATAAATGGAAACGGCAGAAACAACACTAACTGTTATATCAAGTAAAATGCAAAGCTACGCAGCGTTCGGTCATCACTGCTCTGTCTATTCAAAGGTTCAACATGCTGGCCAAAACACGTCAGACCTGGAAGTCGGATGGGATGAACACAGCTGAATACGAGCTGATCTCACGGGAATACATGCCCCTCTACACCAACATCACTGTTAACATCGGCACTGAGGCCGGTCTACATCCCCCTCCACCTCCACATCCTCCAGAAAAAGCTGCTGAAAAACATCCAGAGAAAAAAGCACCTGCCGAAGTCCCAGTCAACGTCCCAGCCAAAATTACAGAAGGCTACACTAACAAAAAGCCAACACAAAAGACTTCTAATCATGTATAACGCTGCCATGACTTCAATGGGATAATCCTATTGGTCGAGCTGTAGGATGCTGTTTTTTCTCCTCAATCACCTGGAGCTGTTTTCACTTTTTGGTCCGTTTTTGGTGGCAGTTCTTTGTGGACAGTGGGCCACTGATTTGGGTGATTTAAAAATGGTGATTTTCTTTTTTTGAAAATGAAAACAATTGACCTGAATTTGTCAACCCTTAGATGACGGCTCTCCACCTTGGCTCCTGTTCTATCACTGACTCTTCTTCCAATGGGAGCCACAGTGAAGGGTAAACGTTGGACTCTGTGAGTTTATATATCTACAGCGCTGTGGTCGCTGGCTAAACCTTGTGATGCCTTAGAAGCTTGTTTTGTTTTCCTTCTCTTCACTCGTACCTTACATTATTCCGAATATTGGGTTTAATAGAGCAGTAGCTGTAATTTCCAGCAGTCGCACTCGTTTTGTTTGTCCAAATGCCAATGAGTACATGACTGAAGGAGACAGATTCTTGTTTCTAGTTGAGTGTGTGTGTGAAGCTGCTACAATGAGTGATGAATGAAGGAACTTGAAAATGTTGTTTGTTACTGCTTCTGACTGAACGCTGCACGCACGCCACCTGTCTGCAAATACCTGGGGTCTGGTTTAGAAAGACCTTTATCCGTTTGGTTTCTGCGTCAGGTGGACTAAATCCTTCAAATGTTTTCAAAGTTACAGATGCTGTACATTTAATGTCATTTTCAGTGGAAATGCTAACGAGAATAAGAGTTCATTTTACGTCTTGGTTCTGTAAACCAAGGCCAAGGTACAGTTCTATGTAAAGATAGTGCATTCAATTCAGCCTTTCACATTTCAGCATATGGGATATCTACATTTGATTTTTTGTTATTGTGTGCATTCACCTTTATCCAATAGAGCACCTCTTTGTGACGGTGATCAGTCCTCTGCCTTCAGATGAGCTTGAGATTCACATCAAAATGGAGTCTGTCTTGCTTTAAGAAAATGTTTATTTATCATTTGATCATGTGCAGTGTACTTTACATCTCCTTATGTAGATGTTTCCCCCTAAGAGTGCTGGCTTACTCCCACAACACTTTATATGCAGTCAAATGTTATAATGTATCTTTTGCCCACTTCCTTTCCTTAATCTATACATATCATGGAGAAATGCACTCAAAAAAGTAAAAATATATATATATAATTTACCTCAGTTCTATTGAAGGAATATTATGATCTTGTTTGTGTTTTGAGAGAATTCTGTGACTTCTTGTTAGGATATGATTCATTAAAACCGCCACAGAATAGTGTCTAAATGGCACTCAATGAAACTGTGTTAAAATTAAGCAGATTATATCATTTCACGGTTTCTTAGCAATATTGCTATAGTCTCACCACAATGTTTATTTTTCTTTTCTGTTCTCCCCTTTCAAACACACAGAAACTATTTGTCCCCGTGTAATTTTCAAGTTTCTCCATAATCTTACTCTGGAAGCCTTCACATCGAAACATCTGCCATTTCCTTTCCACTTGTGCCCGTATACTGCATGTCTGCTCCTCCTTCGCTTCTCTCCACTCTGACAGATTTGATTGTAAACATGCGAAAAAAGAAACAGTCCCCTCTTCCACTGAGAGTGGCTGTACTGGCAGGTGAACAGGCTGAAACCAAAGATGACTGCATGGAAAGCTGTGTCGAGGGATAAAACATTGTGTGTGTGTATACTTTGTTGTGAATGATTTCCGTACTACTCTTATGTACATACCTTTCATCTCTTCCTATCAATACTTGTATGTTGTTCAAAGAATCTCACACCAACATGTATTCAAAACACTCATAATTTACAGTTGTTTATTTTTTGTGAAGAGATGAAGATGGTCCATGATGATTACAAGTGATTTATTTTCTGAATGCTGTACTGAAAACTTATTTTTTCATCATGACATTGGACATTTGTCCGTGTTAGTGGATGAATTTGAGCTCTGAGAGTGTCCGTCTGTGATTTTCATAATTAGATGACTATATACTGTATTATCATTTTGATGTGACTTCATATTCGACTCCTATGGCCTTAGCAACACATAATAGTGGTATTTCAACTTGTGCTCACTAATACAATAGCATCTTTATATCAAGACTTAATATGCATGGCAACAAACCTATTAGCGAGGAAGTGTACCGAGCACAATGTGAAGATGATACATATCAGTGCTCCTCTAGAAAAATATGAAGCATGCTGAAGTGTCTATGTTGTGAACTGGAAATGTTCTTATTGTGACTGTAAATGCAAGTTTCTGCTGTGGGGAATGCTCCTCACTGTTAAATGTAAGGATTAAAGCAGGGCATTTCTCAGAAAGATGTACAAAGGAAGCTTATATTCCCAAAGTCACAGCATACAGTCTCCATCATCAACTGCAACACTCGACCTGATGTTTTGTGTTTCTGATTTAAGCTACTTTATGTTTGATTTGACTCCGTTCTGATGTAGATCAGCAGCAATAGAAAGCAGTCATCACAGGGTAGCACTGAAGTAACCAAGAGCAACGTGACTTTGTGAGTTATTTCTGCTCTTTATGAATTCTGCACAGTCCAGAGTGGCCTTAAATTCATTAATAAACTGATTATTCAAAAGCAATGCTTCACATGTTTTATTTTTCAATCGTTTTTTTTTTGCAACTTACGTTTATCGTGCATCTCCTTGCACAATTCCTGTAACACCGTTGCTGTCAAAGCTAGCCGTCTTAAAAAGGATTATCACATGGTATTAATATGTGAGGGTGATGACAACTCTATGACCTAATAGATGTATCACTTAGTGGGAAACGACAACACCTTTCCCACTAAGTTGTACATGAGGCCAGGAATGTTGTCAAGCTGTAACAGGCTGGAAAGTAAACCCACTTGGTTAGATTTTTCTTTCTCTTTCTTGGCACAATATTATAAAACTCTTCATATCACAAGAGAATGTAAACAGGTTGTTTTATCTGACAGACAGTATACCAGATAGAGTTAAGAAAAGTCATCAATTGTCACCCAACATGTTTTGAGTTCTCTTTAAAACTTCATAAGTATATTGAGTATCTTACACTCTAGGATTATTTAGCATGAAAGGTTTCAGAGTATGAATGTCCATTAATCAGTTCAAGGCAAGCACATTCAAACTTTCCAAGAATATAAGTTTAAATAACAATCACAATGGGAAATAACTTTGTTGTTGACCTGACTTTCAATCTAGCACTATTTATACAATATCTCAACAACTTCGGTAGCTACTTGCTTTAAGTTAAACAGGAATATAGTATGATATACAGCTCCAGATACACAGACAACTGAGAAAACAGTCCACACCGACTGTGGCTGTCCTTATTTGGATAGTTTCTGTGAACCTCAAATCACCTCTGATATGTCTGAATATCTGATGTCAATATTAGAGAAAGCTAAAATACCAATTTGAATGAAAACAATGTATTTGGTTTTGTGTGTCTGAGTAGTCAGTAAGCTGACACCAGTAGTTTCTTATATAGATCAGCAGCTTCTTTGTTACCAAGGAAGTCATTTAAGGAAGTGAAAATGATGGCTGAAGCAACTCAGCTGAAAGGATTGTTTTAGCTGTATTTCCTTGTCTTACATTGTAAATACCTTTGAGTGCATACTGTTGGCAAGGATAAGACAAGACACAAAAACATAACTTTTGGTTCTGGATAGACGCATAGTGGCTGATAGGAGCTAACATTGTCAAAGAATACCTATACTCAATAATGACCTACAGGCAGTGGCGGTTCTAGACCAATTTGACTGGGGGGGCCAGGCTGGGGCCAGTTATTTTCTGAGAGGGGCACAATAAATGCAGGACGAAAAAGACAAAGACAGTATGAATTAATTGCGCATAAGAAAACAATGCAATACAGTTATTGGTACACATATTTATTTCAGATACTTATAGTTACAGTTTTTACTACTAGAATGACAAATAACATTAGTTCCGCCTATTCCGTCAGCCAAGAAATCGTTTAATCATAAACTTTTCATTTTCAGGGGGGCCACAGGGGGGTCAGTGTTAAAAGTTACCAATTTGAACCAAGACATTTAGGCCAAAAATATGTTCCTCTACAAATCCAAGTTTAGTGGCTTTGGGCTGAAGTGCAAAGAGCTTTTCATACAAATTAAATAAAAAATGATAGCCGAGCTATGGTTGGAGGGCCAAAAACGTCTTTGTCCTTACCCAAACTGATCCACCAAGATTCATTAAATCATTTAACAAGTTTGTTTTTTAACAAACAAATAACACTGCACATTTTCCTAACCTGAGACTGTCTTGATCCATAAATGAAGTATGTAGCTTGTATGTTTAGCCATAGAAGTCACCAATTTAAGACCTAATAAAAAACAGCAAAAAACAGTATTATTTTATAGTTTGCTCCTGGCCCATGTTGTCTTACTCTGATTTCAGAAACCATTTTAGTTTACAGCGATCAACTATAGTTTTCTTGCTTCTTTTCATTACAAAAAACCCTGAATCCGCCTCTGTAATTGAGATATAGGGATTTATTTATATACAAAACCATACACATAATGTACGAGCCATGTTCACAGTGTTATGCATTCAGATACTGATAAAACATTCACAGATGGTTGTTCGTGCCTGCAGATATCTTTTTCTTGCCAAGTAAATTAGATATCAAACAAATTCCTAACATGGCTGAATAACTTGTTACAGCAGAACCAAAGCCCTTTCTCTATGTCTCCTCAAAACCATTTCAACCTATCATTTATTTTCATTTTCGTCTTCATGTGTGCAAAAAAACAAGCACCCACTGTAGTTTCATCTCAGTTTACATGTTGACTCATTGGAAAAGTATTTAACATGCTCTCTTAAAAAGATACCAAAAGCTTGGTGACCCTGCACTAATCGTTGAACCAGCACATTCAATCCTTTTATAGGAGCTACATTATCTGCCAAATAAGAAATCCCTTTATTCTTACTTGCTATTAAACTTGACATCACCAAACTTGACTATTTGTCCACCCTCAGTCACCACCTCCTTCTGCTCCCATGATTCAACCTCCCCGTTTTTCATCTCAAAGCGCTGCATCACCACCCTTCCTGTTGTGGGCAGGTTGCTGGGCAGGTTATGTGCAGCACCTTCGAAAAACTTCCCTTTCATGAGGTCTTCGGTGCGCTCAGTTCTGCCTGTCGGGACCAGACCCTGGTTTTTGTTCTTGTCCTCCGTCCTATAAGGGGAAGGAGGAAGGGGCATTGCTGCTCGAGGAGGCGGAGCTTTGAACTCTGGTTTCGGTGAGCGCTCCCATTTCAGCGGCGATTTCTCCCTGTTGTGTGGATCTCTGTTAAACTGTGTTTGAGCCCTGTTCATTGGCGATAGGTCTCTGTTCATTGGCTGTTGGTGTATGTTCATTGGCGATAGGTCTCTTTTCATTGGCTGTTGGTGTATGTTCATTGGCGATAGGTCTCTGTTCATTGGCTGTTGGTGTATGTTCATTGGCGATAGGTCTCTGTTCATTGGCTGTTGGTGTCTGTTCATTGGGTTTGGGTCTCTGTTCATTGGCGATAGGTCTCTGTTAATTGGCAATGGATTTCTGTTAATGGGGGTTGGGTCTCTGTTCATTGGTGATAGGCCTCTGTTCATTGGCTGTTGGTGTCTGTTCATTGGGTTTGGGTCTCTGTTCATTGGCGATAGGTCTCTGTTAATTGGCAATGGGTTTCTGTTCATGGGGGTTCGGTCTCTGTTCATTGGCGATAGGCCTCTGTTCATTGGCTGTTGGTGTCTGTTCATTGGGTTTGGGTCTCTGTTCATTGGCGATAGGTCTCTGTTCACTGGAGATGGATCTCTGTTCATTGGAGATGCACCTCTGTGACCAGGTGCTGGAGACAGTTTTCCGACACTGATGTGAGGTGTTGCTGGCTTAAGGTAATCTTTTTTAACGGGGTTAATGCCTGGACCTCCGACCCTTTTTATCTCACTCATGACCCCACCCATGGAGGCTCTCAGAGTAGGGTCGGGATCCACCATCCTACACACAACATGGCAGTAAGGCTGATCCTTCAGGATATCGTTGATCTTAGCTGGACAGACGCTGGGCGTGTACAGCCGGACCCGGGCACAGAGCTCGGCGATGATTTTACCCATGGCCCACACGTCTGAGCGCTGGTCCCTCTGACTGCCCCTCTGCAGAACCTCAGGGGCAGAGTACGCCTCATTCCCCATGTCTATGGCAGAGTTTTGACCATACCGGAAGAACTTAGCCAATCCCAGGTCGATGATGACCGCTCTGTTTGTGTCATGTTCCACCTGAAGGACACATGAACTTTATTGAATTTATATTCTTACAAAATTAAAAAACAATTCACAGAGATTTAAAAGCGGATAGACGTGCAATAAGGCCGTCATTCGGTTTCAGCTACTGCCCAGTGATTACAAGTATCATAGTCTACAGCCATACTAGCTCCACCAGTTTAGCTTGTTAGACTGGTATTCTTTTTTAGTGAGCATTTAAAACAGAGTCCATCTGAGGCTGCAGGTAGTCATATTAAACAAATTAAGCATTAGACCTAATGATGTAGCTGGATGAAAAGTTAAGGGCTCACCAAAGTTATTACAAGTTATCCTGAGGGTTTTTTAAAAGTGTGTATTAAATCTCATGTCAGTAGTTGGTAAGACGTTTTATTAAAATCTGGAAATGTAAACTTCGTCGTGGCGCAAGAGGAAATATCAGGCATTGAGCAAAAACATTGGGATTAGTTCTTTAAGCTCCATGGATATCTTTAAGAAAATGTAATGTCATCTTATAGTTACATATTCAGTCAGGACTATATGTCCCCTGTAAATCTCTATTGTTTTGTGCATGCTGACAGTCTGCACAGGCCTCCACTCACCATGATGTTTTCAGGCTTGAGGTCTTGATGGACAATATCTTTGGAGTGAAGGTGGTGCAGCCCTTCACACATGCCGGTGATGATAGTTCCTTTGATAGACGGAGTCAACTGCAAGAGACAGACATTTGAGATCAACTTTAACCAGACTGGCATCAAGTATGAGCCACATTAGAGTTACATCATTTCCCTTCAGGCCTCAATAAAACTGCTGTTCTGAAGAATTGTGAAGCTATTGTTTGTTGACATGATAACTTTACCTGTATTTTAGACTGTGATGCTTTAAAGATGGTGGTCTCCAAGTCTTCTCCAAAGATAAACTCTAAAGGAATAATCCATTTTCCGTCTTTGAGATTTATTTTCCCCAGTAGCTTCACAATATTTGGATGATTTGCCTTCCTGCAGATCAGTGGTGGAAAGTCATGGAGAGAGAGAGAGAAAAAGACAAATAAGATCAAATTAAGAACCAACTAGATACTTACTGGGTACCTGTATAGAGGGTAATTGTGTTTAAGAGAGACCTAGAAGTAAAAGACCCAACACACACATCAGAGATTCTTTTTTCAAAGAATGGTTCACCCTTGCCACATATTTTGGTTGGAAGATAACACCAACAATTGTTATGGTTATTAAACTGTGTGTTATATTATCTATATAGTGGCTGTAAATGGTATGTCTACTTTTGTCTTTTTTGGTATCGGATAAGAGTTGAGTCTAAAGAATTGCAACGTATTGCATTATAAGGTATACACTTACATTATTATATATTTGTGTTTATTTCTCTTTATCTTTTTATATCCTGCTTGGCTTTCTTTTGAGTCTGCAAACATAACTAAATCATGTGTACTTACTTGTACACTTCACTCTCTCTCTCCAGGTCGTGCTGTCTGATGAGGTGTTGCGGGACTTTCTTTATAGCAGCCCAGGTATCGTTGTACTTCTGCTTGTAGACCTTCCCAAAACAGCCTTTTGCGATTGTTCCGGTGGAGTATGCCATCTAGTAGATAGGAGGTAGATTGTGAGGGCATTTTGACAATAAATATGTTCAACCTCAAAACATTTAATTACAGGGGACTGAACTGCAGAAAAGCTGCACTTATGGCAGTTTGGTTAAGAACATGTTCAACATATTGGTATTTTTTTTTTTTAGGCTTTCAAAAATGAAGATGTTTTAGATGCTGTTCTATAGTCTGTTTGTGAGCGCTGTTCCTGTTGGCCAATGAATTGTAAATGTTGCTGGGATTTTTGGGACCTTCCTCTTCATCACTTTGTGTACTACTTGCTATGTGTTCGTTGTTGTGACTGTGCTACAAGAACAGATCAAATAACGACAAGGGTTAAGATTATGTTATCTTGACAAGCAAACAGACGACTCATGATACATTGAATTCCAATCCGCGTTGTACATCAGGTACATTTTTAAGGTTATTAAGAGAGCTACCAAACTAAATCAAAACAGTCTACAATAGTAGAAAGCACTGAGTTTTCTTCTAAAATGTTATACTTTTGGTTAATGTTGCCATTTTACACTACTTAATCGTGATTCTTAAGATAGTTTCTTTAAAGATAAATCTTGAAATACAAATATAAGAGTATTCAATTCAATATTAGATTTGTACCCAAGTGAAATAAGACTCAATCGCAAATAAATTATAACACTGACAAATGTTACTACTGGTAGTTTTCATCCAGGCAACTTTCAGCATGAATGGACCTGTCAAATAAATTGGATCAAAATGTTCAGTAAGGGAGTGTCAATGTTGTTTAGTTAGGCTGTGTGCTTGTTCTCCTTGTTGAGGATTTGGATCAAAACCTCTTTTTACCGCCACACATGTACCCAGCACAGTACACACATGTAAGTGTAGCCTCTGCATTTAACCCATCAGTTCAGTAGGAGCTAAAATATTAACCAATGTTTAAATCACTTAACACAACTAAGCCTGGTCTGATCTAAACATACACGTTTATCTTTTTTAAGACAGAAGAAGGGCCTCCAGTGAAAAGACTTAAAGCGACTTAAGTCCTTGATCATTTTGCAAAGACCCACGGTTATGTGTACATAACAGGGAGATTAAAAAAAGCTGACAAACTGGTTAGTCCACAAGAAAGTGCATTTGTATTATCCCGGACACAACGTTTGCTCATTCATGTGTCATACTTATGTTCCTAACTAAAAGCTTTAGAATGAATACTCATACTTTAGTGACTGACGTCTCACAATGTACAGACGGAGGGAGTACTGCGACTAGTGAACTAGTACATTATGTTATGTTTCTTAACATCTTATATCTGGTAGTTGAGGTTCTCTGGTCTGACTCGTTTACCCCGGAAAGGGTAACAAAGACCAAAGAGGTTATTACTAAATGTAACAAAGTTGTTAAAAATCGACGTTTACATATGTTACAGAAAGCCGTTGAGGTGCTTACCTTTCTACTGAAGAGAAACTCCTGCTCTGAAGAGAAACTCCTGCTGTGGAGTGCAAGCAGCTATGTCAGGTCTGAACAAGAGGGAACAGGGTTGCTTCTCTCTGTACCTGTTTTTCCACACCTCCTTGGATCTGAGTCATGGCCTTCCAGGAAATCATCATGTGACAGAATGGATGATGCTGCATGAAAAGCCACGATAAAGGGGAATTTCCAAACTGATCACCTGGTGGTTATACGGAAGCAACACCGATTATACAATTAAATATAGTAGATTTACAGTATAGTGCCTAAACTGTACGTGAGAGGTGTGGACAGATTATGAAATGATGGGCCTATAAGGACACAGAGGATGGGTCAGATTACTTACTAACTAATTTAACGTACTAATGTTCTCACACAATAAATAAATGTAATCTAATGTGAGCACTTTATAATTTAAAATATTGCAATTAATACTTGAAAATAATTAGGGATGCTCCGATCGATCGGTAGAGAGTGAGTCCAATTTTTCATTCATCTGTCCTTATATGAAGCACGTGGGTGTTGTTGTTTTTTCATCAAAAGTTGTATTAGCTCCACACCCAGTTGAAGTTAAACACGCCCTTTTGTTCAACCAGCTGACATTAAACAAAGAGTAAATGTATGCTACTGTGATTGGCAGGCAGTATTAGTCAGTTTCCAGAGGAGAAATGTATCCGAGGCCCCGTTCAAAGACTCATGTTTAAATGGTAATGTCTCAGCACATCAAAAAGCTGCTGTACAGGTTGTCACACAGTCCTTAAAAGACGTCTTCAATTCACTTCAAGTTCTCGTTTTCATCTTTAACTTCTTAGTTAGTTAGTTCTTAGATCTAAATACATAAGCCTCACAATAATATTGTATGACTTTTGCTTTTTATTATTTACATCAGGCATATAGTATTAGTACTCTAGGCTATTTTTGTTGTTGTAGGATCTTTAAAAAAAGTGTGGCTTTATTGAATGTAAGTGTGAGTTGTTTTAAACAATATTTTGCTGTTTTTCTTTGGTTTAGAATTTCACTGGGAATCAGCACTTTTCATACTGGAATCAGCATTTTTTATTAATTTAAATGTGTTTTTATTTGACCTCTGTATTTTTTTCTTTGTCTATAGTGCAAAACAAGAAACAAACAAAGTGATAACCACAGAAACATTGCAGTGTAGGGTTTATCATGCTAGTTTAATTTACTTGATGCTTCTTCAGTGAAATTGGGACACGGTTGAGTTTAAACTACAATGAATATTTGTGCAAAAAAAACCCTGAGAAGTAGGTCATGTTCACATGTTCATGAACAGAAATAGGATGCATCTTTCTTTCACTTCTGAATCCGATTGGTTGCACATGTTAATCTATAGCTAAATGTATTTTGATGGTTCTTAAAGAATATCCTATTCGTACAAATCCACTGTCCTCTGAGGAATAAGAGCACCCGAAATACCAGTAAATGCTGTCAAACAGGTGGATTAGGACATTTAAGAGAAGGTTAAAGAAACATTACAAACACACTTTCCTCCAGGGTAAACATGCTGCATCAGGCTGAGTGGAGTGCACTTCAATAGAGATAATGATATGTTGTTTCCACCAGATGGAGATCATGTATTACAAATGATTGGTGACGTTTACGGGAATCCATGAGCATTTCCTGGTGCTGGTCATTCTATATCTCGTGTCACTACCAAGGAACATCTTAGCCTCTGTGCTGTTGATCATTTTAAAAAACAAAACCATGACCAAACCAACCAATGACTTTCTCCAACCTCAGCCGCAAAGTAAGTTTCTTTTTTTGAATTATATCATTTAAATGCATTTGGTGGGAAAGACAAGCTTTTTTATGTGCTGAGTTTTAAGGGCTGCTGCAAGAGTCATTCATTCGAGCATGCAAACCGGCCTGTGCACTCTAAGGACGAAGCTAATGTAGTTTTTAAACAAATCACAAGTTTTGTTAACTTCAGTGACCACAGAAATGATTGTGTTCATATTTGGTAATCTGAAATGTTGCTAGTTAGTTACAATTTTAGAAAAACAACATGATAAGCAATTGTGACGCAGTAATAACATTCCTACGCAGGAAGTTCCTGTTATGTGGTTTTATCAACAACAATGCTATCATTTGTGTGTGTATGTAAACAATGACTTTTTAATTTGCATCTTATCAGTTTTGTAAGTGATAACTATTATAACTGTTTTTATGTTTTACATTTGTAGGTGGCCAGGGCCTACACACCCAGGAGAGCGGGTATGAGACTTTTCTTTCAATTCCTAACCTCAACCTTGTTATTAACATTCTGAGTGCAACATGTTAAAAGGTTCAATGGGCTTTATTGTCATATTCACAGCTACAGTGTAGATATGAATTAACAAAACTTAAGTCCCAGGCTCCTTCAACAATGCAACATAAATATATATAGGACATAAAACAAAACAATAAAAATGGTGCAAGCTCATGAGTTTAGCAGTCTTATGGCCTGTGTGCATGAGTATGCGTTTGTACTTTTGAAGTAATACTGTGCGTTTCTGATTTATATTGACTTTAAAGTGTACAGAGATTTTGGAAAATGTATTTCTTAATGGTAAATATTTTGAATCTGAATATCATGTTTTCATGATTTCAGGTTATATATATATATATATATATATATATATATACTGTTAATAAGTTCTCAGAACCTTAACCCAAGTAAAAGTACAATTACTTTGGTCTTAAAATATTCCACAATAAGTAAAAGCAAAGTAAAATATACTTGAAGTACAGAAAGTAAAATAACTAATTCTGCACACTGACCCATTTCAGAATAATAAAAAGTACAGAAGTATTATCAGCTAAATGTACTTACTGTAAAGTGTCAACAGTTAAATGACTTGTGAATGGATCTTTTCACAGTATTATATTATTATGGGTATTATGTTATCCTGTTTTTATACATGTAACAGCATTTAGATAGTAGTACAGCATTGCTTTATACCATACCAGCATATATAGTAACTGTGAGTGATGGAGTATAAGTATAAAGTAGTATTAAATGGAAATACTCAAGTAAACTACAACTATGTCAAAAAAGTACTCAAGTACAATACTTGGGTAAATGTACTTTCCTACATTAAGTCAAAGTCAAAGTCACCTTTATTGTCGATTCCTCTATTTGTGTTACACAGACAGGGGGACCGAAATTCGGTTTCCCACCATCCCAGAGATACATTATATATCACAACTAGTTTGATTTATTTCCCTTTTTAATACAGTGATGATGGCCTCTCCTCCAACATGAAGCACACGTTCATTGATCATAACAATGGAAGTGCGCCTCTGCCTGTAGCAGATAAGGGCAGCTGTGTGAAACCAATTCCTAAGGAGGAAAGAAGCACAGTTGTCCCGTGGTCACACACCTCAGTGTCTGAGTATGCTACTGGTCCAAAAACACACACTGTGTTTGCTGAAGAGGAGTTCAAAAAACCGCCCACCCTTATCGTGGCTAAAAAAATCAACTTTCCACCACAAGCTGTGACAGACAACATCCCAGAAGAGGAAGCTGTCAAGATCGTATCCGGCAAGACAGCCATTACAGAGGAGCATGCAGAGGTAGAAGGAGATGAAAGCTGCACTAAGATGGACTCTGGGGAAATCCCTGAAACACCCAAAGGTCCAACACTGGTCGGCAGAGAAGGGAGAAGTAAGGGAAGAACTGCTTCAAAGCACTGGAAAGGTAATTACATTTACATTTGTATTCATTTTATATGATTAAAAATGCATTTCTTGAAAATATATTTCAATTTTAGTTATTTTAATTGTATAGAATAATGTGCACATGTATATGCAGTGTTTTATTACACACTCAGTGGCTACTTTATCGCGCCTGTACAAAGCATTTTTTTATTTCCTCTGATAGTTTTTATTGAATGAATTGGATATCATGGATATTTCTCATCATTACTCTTATCATTACGTAAATACATAGGCACATACCGTAAAATGCGAAACCTACACCTATTCAAATGATTACAGTTAAAAACAACAGCTATTCCATAAATTCATTACAAAGACCTCTTAAGGTTTAGGTTTTAGGTTTAGGTATTGTCAGGAATGTGTTACTTCAATTATATGTTTATTAAGAAATGTTTCAAATATTTACTGTCCTCTCTATTCACTTAGACAAGAGGGTCAGAATATAGAAAACATCTCCGCTTATAATGTAATATAATGCATTACAACACATCCACTAACTCTGACCACAATACTAAAACATAGAATCAAATTAACTCCTCTTGTACACAATACAAAATACTTTAATAATGTATTACTCTTAACATACTCAATTGTCCTAGTAAAGCACTCTAAAGTGCATTTTATTTGTTCGAATGGTCCTTTATAAATAGAGTTTAAGTGATTTATTAGACAAGACGACTTTATGGCAGTGGATATTGTTTTGTGTTGCATGTAGTGTTTCTAATAAAGTGTCCACTGAGTGTATAATTGTTATGTGTCTCAGGTATAATATGCATTCATTTATGAACTGTAATACAACCATTTGATGAGGAAAACTACAGTTTTTTTTCCAGTGTTCCAGTGTTCCAGTGTTTTTCCCTTGTTACTACTTGTGATTCCATTCATGGCTGTTGGTGTCTCGGAGGGCTCTTCTGGTACGTGTTGAAAAGTGGATTTAGTAATGTAACACTATGTGCAGAGCACTCCTAAATGTATTTCTTTAATTAGGTTTGATTGCATTGAATATGAACCGAAATATTTTAATTTTAATGAACATTGAGAACTGCTTTAATGCACAATGTTTTAGACTCATATACTCTCTGACATGGGGCTCATTCTTCAGCAGATCGAGATTGTAAATGTAGAGACATTCAACCCACCGCAGGCAAATGCTATACCTGCAAGGACAAGGACGGATGCAGTAAATTGAAGAAAATATATGATTCCCGGGTTTACCTTAACCCCAAAGAGATTTACCAAGGAGACAATACAAAGTTTCCAAGATGCTCTGAAATCTCTCCACCTGGTGATAACTGTACTGTGTGCCTGGACCTGTCTTCTTCCATCAACATCTTCTGCTCAGAGCACATTGAAGAAATATTCCTGGTAGAAGGCAATGGAATCAACATTGGCACCGTCTCCTTAAAATGTACGTATACAATTGTATTAAACATGATCTCTGCTGTTTTCCTAAACATCTAGTTTCACACTGAGCTCTCTCTATAGGTTTTTTAAGCATTGGGGCTGCATAAACATAATGTTCCAGCAGCATTGAAATAACAATATTACATTTTGCAAAAACTCCACAATACACATTGAAAAATATACAATTAAGAATTGTTAAAACAACAGAAAATAAGGTTTCTGCCAGGCAATTATTTAGCTAACTTAATTAGCCAACTATTCTCTTGCATCTTGTCTTGTCTAATCAGTTTTGTATTTTACTTTTAAGCCAAACGATTGCTGTTTGGTCATTAGCAGTTGAATGACTTTCTTTTCTTTAGGTGTAAAGCTGCAGCCCCCTGGCCCAACCTCACATAGTGTCTCACTGTCTAATGTCTCACCAAATCCAAATGTGCATTACAGCACACGTCGTGGATTGATTTCTAGCTTTGGTATGTATTTAATCAAAGCACTAAACGTCAATTTAATATTATTATGGCTAAACTGCATGACTGTGCCCTTTTCCATGTTGTGTAATGTCTTATTTCATTAAGCGTATTTCTATGAAGTTAGCCGAGGCAGTCTATGTTTGTTATTCTTTAAAGTGGCTCACCCCTTGACGGATAATACACACCAGTTTTTAGTTACATTAATACGCAGTCCTGTATTACATCCTACCATAATGGAGATTATAACTTTCAGTTTTGATTGAAACAGTCTTTTTTATTACCAACCGATATAGGCAGCATAGGTTAAGATAGGTAACAACAACCAACAAAGATGTATTTTACTTTTGATTTAAATGATTGCTGCTTAGTTATAAAACGTTGAATTGCTTCTTCTTTTCTTTAGTTGAAAAGCAGCAGCCCCCTGGCCAAACCACACATCACAATGTCTCAGAGCCAAATGTCTCACAAAATCCAATTGTGAAAGGCCGCACACATCTTGGATTGATTTGTAGCTTTGGTATGTATTTAACAATAGCATTGAAGGTCAATTGAATATGGTTATTGATAAGCTGCATGGCCTGACATGATGATCTAACATGACAGCTATATGTGTTTTTATTTTTCAGTGCTTTTTTTGATCGTGTTGGCAGCGCTGGGGATCTCCTATCATGTAAGTCTGACTCAATATGTTCAATAATCACACAACTTTCAATAATCATTGAGACTGAATTACATCAAATCGAGTTTCTGCACGAGTCATTGAATATATTTTAGGTCTTACATATTCCAAGTAAAGTTTATTTAACACCATTCAAAGGATAACAATGTATAATGTTTGTAAATGTAATATGTCACATTTCTCTTTTTAAATTGCTTTTTTTCTTTTCTTTTTAGTGCTACAAAAAAAGAGGCAGGTCTGTAAAATATCACAAAATCTCTAATCTGAGTGTTATAATATTAACTCCAAAAATAAAGGAGGCTCAGAGTTGACTGGGAATATTGTTCACTCAACAGATTCACATTTGACACTAAAATCATGTTTTTTTCTTTTCAAATAGGATTTCAATCGGTCAACAGTGAAGAAGTCTGAGGAAGGAGGAAGTGTGTGGACTCGAGGCCTTTCTGCTGCAACTCATGATTATTTTATTATTCATTTAGCTGTTGATTGTTTTCTTAATAATGTTAATTGTTAGGTCTTTAAACATTCAAACCATGTCATCAAGTAGCTTGTTTTCTTCTTAAAAATAACAAATAGATTATCAATATAAATGCTGATAACTTCTCTGTCTTCTTGTATAAAAACTGGCAGAGGTGGGAGAAGTACTCAGATATTGCACTTAAGTAAAAGTAGAAATGCCAGAGTGTAGGAATACTCAGTTACAAGTAAAAGTCCTATATTCAAAATGTTACTCAAGTAAACGTAGAAAAGTATAAGCATCAAAATATACTTAAAATACCAAAAGTAAAAGTACTCAATATAAAGATTGACCCATTTCAGAATAATATATATGTTTTGAAGTAGGATACAATGGAAGTACTCAAGTAAAGTACAAGTATCTTAACGTGCAATACTTGATTAAATGTACGTGACTTCCACCTCTGAAAACTGGTTTCAGTTGTACTTGCTGATAACAATGTTGAAATAAGAGAGCTTTTTGAAAAAATGGCATAATGCACATGTGTATCCGCTGTCTTAATAAAAATAGCTTTGAACAATAAATGGTTCTGTCATTATTTAAAGTTAAATTAACAAGTGTTTGTGGTGAATAATCATTATCTGCAAAGTGAACTGTGGTTCTAGCTGTCAATTAAATAAAGTGGAGTATAAGGTAATACACATGGGAATAATCAGGTATAGTACAGGTACTTATAAGTTGTTATAAACGTGGTCATATGCAGTTGTTCCACCACTGAGTGATAAGTGCGGTAATACTGAGCAATAATTGTCACACTTACAGGAAGTAGGCCCTACGCCAGCTCTCTCACACATGCACGCCCCCCCCCCACACACACACACACACACACACACACACACACACACACACACACACACACACACACACACACACACACACACACACACACACACGATGAGAGTTGAACATTAACACACAATGGTGCTTTGACATCTTATCAGTGTCTGGGTCGTACCAACTGGCGGGCAGGTTAAAGGTAGTTTATTGGTTACATTTTTATTTGGGCGATTACAAAATGTGTTGAGAAAGGGATGGTTCCGTATAAAACGATATACTCCTCTTATTAGCAGGTGTTTGGTGTCAAATGTATCCACAGTCGACGAAAGAAATAACCCAAAACCATTTTCACACCCCTGTGTTTCACAACCTGTATTTGAAAGCTCACCTGTTGGCTGTTCTGCTGCCGTGGGGCGTTCAGGTACTCCCCTTCGCCTACAACGTACAAAGACACAAAATGGAGCTGAAACTACCTGGCTGAGGAAAAGTACAGTTGCGCTCAATATTATGCATAAGACGAAGTTTTATTTGGGTCTCTAAGGAAATAATATTAAAACAAGTCGACTGAAACCTTGAGGAAAGAGGATTCAAAATGTTCTGGACCTTAATCATCGCCGCTTTAGTGGCAACAGGTAAGTTGGCCTGTTTTTCTTTTTTTGCAAAACAGGGTGGGCCCTCTTCCGTAAAAAGTCCCTTGATAAATAGCCGCTCGCAGTGTCGTTATTTTGTGGTAATATCAGTTTTGTCACAGTTTGAGAAAGGGTTCCTATGCATGCAAGGGTTTATTAAATGCTATGTATACGAATGTTGAATAAAATTATCAAACGACATATGTTAACCATATAACCACCTGTTACATGTGACATTTTACTCGAGTATTAGCACGTTTTCTACTCTATGCTTCTTCTTCACTAGAAAACAATGTCAGGAGGAAATATTTTACCTCACTCCACATCAATTTGACACTTGGGCCTAAAGCCACTTGTTACTTTTTACCTAAAAACACAAGTGACGTGCTTGAATATGATGCTGTACCATAGTAGCCTAGTAATCTACCCTGTAGTAAACATGGTATCTTACATTATCTCCTCATTGAACAACTCAAACATTTATATTACATGCATTTATTGATTCAAAACAAAATAGTATTTTGATAGGAGCCAGTTTGTATCTTAGTAGCTTTACTTTTGATGGATTGATTTATCAATTAATTAAGTAACATTTTGAATTCAGGATTATTTTACTAAAGTAAATTATCTAAGTATTTCTTCACTTGTAGTTTGTTCTTGTGGGTAGTTGTTTTGTTATACCTAGAATCTTCCTTCACAATTAAAACTGGTAATAATTTGTTAGTATTTTATTTGTTGTATGGCAGTACAACATATATAACTCCAATAAGCATATATGCCATTATTTAGTAGAGCTGCAGAAGATTCAAAACAGAGGACTTGAAGAATCAAACAACTTGAAATAATATAAATAATTAGGAAATATTTTCTGGTTGGTGGTCAAAAACCATCGCACTGCCTATCATTTTATGTTTGTCATGCTATATTTGCTATAATGTCGCTGGTTGAGAGAGAAGTCCCAGCAGACAGAAGTCACTACAGCAAAGTGATCACCTCCTGTAAAATATGCCTTGCTGGAAATAATCAGTTTTTTCTTACTGTCAACAATTCCTATGAAAAACAAACCAAAAATGTAATTGTAATAAATGTCTTGGCTTTGTAACGACATTAAGGATATGATGAATCCTCTCTTTTTAGAACATCCTAAGTATTCATAGCTTTCATAATTGGATGTAATGGTCAGGCTGAAAAACAGAGGCAGTCTGAGGTGACTCATTACACCCACTCTCAGTGATACTAGCAGTGAGGAAATACTGTTTCTCAGATACCACACCCTAGGGGTTTTGTGGAGTAATAAGAAACCATAAACAAATGATCAAATGTGAGTAACATTTAGCTAATAATAATCATTATCTACCAGCCCATCTCATACTTTTAATTCTCCACTATTTCTTTCTAGAGTCCACGATGGCCATCTCGGTCCAGTGCCCCACCAGGAGGTACATCGTCATCCTCTTTCAGGACGTCACCCTCAACTGCAACTACCAGACTACCGCCTCTCAGTCTCCTGTTGTCACGTGGAAGTACAAATCATATTGCCGGGACCCCATCCAGGCTGCGTTTAGTCCAAACAGTGCGGACAGCATCTTGTCTCAGAACAACCCCAACTATGACCCCAACATCGAGTGTGCCGATTCCCAGAGGACGGTGCGCATCGTGGCCTCCAAACAAAACGCTGCTGTTACCCTCGGTTCAGACTACCAGGGGCGCAAGATCAGCGTCCAGAACAGTAAGTTAATCAAAGTTAACACTTAATATCTCATAGTATACTATACAGTATATAGTAAAGACCAGGTATACATTTCTTTCACTTTTAATTCAGTTAAATTAAAAAGTAATATGTTGTGATGAATTTAGTAAAAGTATTTATTAATTTAACAGAAAAGTTGTAGCTTTTTTGATAATAATCACTTAATCTTCACATTTTCATAGAAATATATGTTAATTTGAGTTTCCCTGTTGTGACTTTATATTCAATTGGATATCTTTGAGTTTTTAGTGTTGGTCAGACATAACAAGACACAGAGAAAATTGGGCTTTATGAAATTATGACCAATTTTTATATTATGACCAGTTTTGAATTAACATACTTCTTTCCTCGACAAACGAGCCAAGGTAAGTGATTGAAATACCTTTACTCTGTCATTATCTGACTCTGTAAAGCGTGTAAACACTAGTATTTATCTATGTCAGAGCTTTGTGTTACCGCTCTCATATCTGTGTACATCTGCTTGGATATGATGAGTCAACTGTGACTAAATTAAGATTCAACATTCAAAGATGTATTTGTCACCGTCCTTTTTGTCAATAAGTGTAGTTAAATGCGGGGGCGGTAATCTCAAGGGGAACTTAAAAAGAGAAGCTACTGGATTTATGACGGCCCAGTGTAACGTTCAGGTTGATATTTTGTAATAGGCCGTTGATTCATACCCACCTTGGAGGTAGGCTAATGAGAAAATAATGTATTCAATAGGACAGAAATGCTGACATAATGATCTCCTTCTAATTTAGCTTTAATAGCTATCCAGGGTTATTTATACTGCCACCATGCATGTGAAACAACATTTCCTTTCTGAATCATAATCATCACTTTGGCGCTTTTTAAAGGCTAATCTGCAAAGTCTTAACAGGGCTGAAGGAAGTTAAAAAAACATCAATACTAATAAAAATATAAAATGTACATAACAGCTGCACAATAAAACACAACAGACATAGAAACAATGAGGTTAGAGTAAGGTTAACACAGTAGCATAGATCTGACAGTTATTAGTCAAGTTGCCAACCTGATCTCTTAATAAGAACTTATTTAAAAGTGTAGGGTTTTATTGACAAAGGCATGATCACTCTTAGATAAAAGATAAAGTGCAGGTTCACACCATCACTAAACGAAGACCTGGTGCATAGCAGAGCACTTACACATTTTAAGTAGTAATCATTCTCCAAAAAAGTGATACATTCTTGCTAAAAAAAACTCATATAACCAGTAAAGGGTTAACTAACAGGACACACCTAGGCTTAGGGCTGTGCAATTAATCGTATTTTAATCGCAATTACGATTTTGGCCTGCCACAATTACGAAAACAACATAATCGAAAAAAACAATTATTTTGCTTTGCTAGGTTGTGACAGTGCACTGCAACATATTTGATCTAATTTATTTGTATTTATCATATTTATATATGTTTAGTAGCTTGTTGAAGTGCGCTCCAAAATATTTGTTGATCTTGTTTATTGGTATTTATTATTTTGATATTATTTATTTAAATGTATCATTTATTTTTGTATTGGTTTTTCAGTTGAATTATACGTTCAGGGTAATCAACAGTTAAAAAGATACTGTTCAAATTATTATTTGTATTTGTTTTAAAGTACAATAAATGGATGTTTTCAAAGTCAATGAATAATCGTATTTAATAATCGTGATATCAATTATTGACCAAAATAATCGTAATTATTTTCATTTCATTTCAAACCTTTATTTATCCAGGTGTATCCCATTGAGATCACTGATCTCTTTTTCAAGGGAGACCTGCTCAAGTAGGTTCCACATGATACATTAAAAACATAAACAGAACAACAAAAAGGACATCATACAGCATCATTATGATTTTTGCCATAATCGCACAGCCCTACCTAGGCTGTGAGAGTCTGTTTACAAATGAGCCGCGATCTGATTGGACTAAATGGAGCAGGCTTGTCTGAGCGGGAGATAGCAGGAGGCATTGCCACTGATTTAACTCGTATGTCAATATTCCAATTACTGTATATTATAGACTATTCTGCACTGTCTCTATTATATTATGTTTCTATTTTATTTTATTTACTTGCACTATTTCATCTGTGTTATTGTGTTGCACTGTTGGAGCAGCCTGTGACCTAAGATATTCATTGTCATAAAAACACTGTAGCTATGCACATATGACAATAAAAGCCTTGAGACTTGAATAGTGCACTGTGCTGAAACCACAGATAAACAATGAGCCAGAAAACATGCTTGTGATTTTGATACTCAACTAACCCCTAGGTCAAAGTTCACAGCTCAGTGACGTAGCAGGTTTGCTGAGGCCAGAGGACAGAATGAAAAGTATCATGATAATGTACGACAGGCCTTT